AAAAAAAAGACAATATTTGCATTCTATTTATGGAATAACAAGAAATCAAATGAGAAATATGCTTTCCACGAGTGATTGCACTTTACTCAGTATATCTCTCGAATGCAACTTAATTTTTATTTTGTTAGTAGACTGAGAATACCATTTGAGTAATGAATTCGATGCAAACAATCGAAGCGGACGGGAAGAATTTCCACTTGTGATGGGACTCGCTAACGATCGAGCGTCAACCTCATAATTTATCAGCACGATTCATTTGAATACGAACAAAATAATTCACTGGTTCTAGATCGGAAAGCAAAACAAGCTTCGCGCGTACAAAGTTCGACACGACATCACTAAAAAGCACACTAACTCGAATTCATAATGTCGATTTGACTGTCAAGTAATTTGGATCATCTGAATCGCATTCTCTAGCGGACTTATTGCGCCTCGTGTTTCGCTGTCGCACGCTTTTATAGTTGCACGCCTCTATTCGCACCCCCAGCAAAGAACAGGGATTACCCTCTCGCTGGATCCAAAACCTGAAGGGACACCGGTGCCTCTTCTTGCGTTAATGTTCATTAAAACCGCGGACACACCCCGATTCCTCGATTCACGCATCGATCAACCTACGTTTGTACGATTTTTTCAAAGGACAGGTGAACATTTACATGATTTCACTCGCGTTTGGAATAATTTCGTTTGACAGAAAAGACAACCTTGGCGTCGGCCATTCGAGCACTAAGATCCCGGAAGTCTACTTTGTTACGACGAATTGCGGATGAACTGCCTGGGGAGCGCGCAACAACTACGAACTGAATTTGGTAATTTGTCGTCTCGTTCTATGAATTAATATCTTTCCTTTAATTACATCTGCATTTCCTTCGTATCGTAGAATCTTTTAAAGACGCAACGATTTCTTTCTTTATAAAAGATTTCAGTACAGATTAGCGGATGTTAGATAAAAGGTATTCGTAAGATTTTTAACCTTCTATATTATTACGTACTTGTATTTACATTAACAAATTAAAGGTAATAAATATGTTCGCTTAGGTGACAAGCAACCAATGAATAATACGTATTTGAAAATAACAAAAGGTAGAAATTGAATTGTTCATTATGTATTTTTTAGTATTTATTTCAAATATTTAAGGCATAAAAAAATTACTTATCTAGATAAATTTTTAGGTAACATTCGTATACAGAATTTAACGATACATATATACGAATACATTAGAATATTTATTACATTATACGATACAACGCATTGTTCGGATACGTAACTGGCGCAGTAATTACTAGGTTACACGTGAGCTACTTCGAAAGTGTCTCCGATACTATTATTTTTTATTTTACTCAAATTTCTGCAACATCGCATAAGATTTGAATCGAGAAAGTATATATCATTCTTTCTAACCGCACATTTCAATTGGCGAAAATATTGTTCGTTATTATGGAAGAAACGGAAGTTATTCGACTCTAGTGACAGAACTGTATAGGAACGCGCTAGAAATTCTTCTAGACGTCTCGACGAGGACCAATCAGAGGATGTGTCTTTCTCGTCGCGCATTAACTTAAAAACCAATAGAATATTTGCTCGAACGTAGTTTGTTAAACGTAAACGACAGGTGGCGCAGCGACGTTGGAGAGTGAACTAGTGTCGAGACGCGTCAGTTCACAGACGACCTCCGTTCCGTCGGATGTGAGGAAGCTATTTTTCCTGTTAAATTTGTCGGGTTCTCTTGTCGAGGCTCGTTAGTAATTTTCGTGGTTTCCCGGAGGGGCGAGTTTTGTAATCATGAAAAGTGTGAGACTGTGCGAGATCGGCTAGTATCGTTAAAACCGGGAACGATTCGAAGACGAGTGAGTACAATTCAGAGCTGACGTCTATTTTTTCTCTTGTGGCTTCTTTTTTCGAACGGGCGTCGCGTATCATTGATAATCTCGCAGTCCGTGGTGGTACTCGTCGGCATCGAGGATGGTTTTTCGTTTCCGTACGCCATGCGACTTGACAGATTCGCGAGATAAAGCTCGAGTACACTTGTCGGAACATCAACGACAAGATGAAAGGAGAGGTTATAAAGTCAAGACGGAAATTGTCCTGCACCTGCCATTATGAGACGATCGTTTTGTATTTCTACGAAGCACCGTATCGTTGTCTCCTCTCGTATTATTCTTGCTTTAGTGCAGTTCACGTTCTTAAGGTGTGTTTTGGAATCCCGTGAATACGTCGAATAAATGTTGTGACAATACGGTAGAGTCGTTTCGGGTATTGTTGTTTGCGATGCTTCGATGAAACTGGTTATGTACGGCTATAATAAATACGATAAACACGATCGTCGTATTTGACGTGTTGCAAATAAGCTTGATTTGACGGGGGAGTAGGTAAAAGTGTATCGCAGCGAACTGTCCATCGCGAAATATCGAAAATTGATATCCCCGAGATCCGTCAGGGGAATGGACGAACCGATGAAAACGATATATCGCTTGTTTATTCTCGCGTAATTTTATCTTTAGAAAATCTCAATGTCAATTCGAAAATGTCATCACGATTATTCACGCGTTGTTTCTAGCCGGTCACGTTCCTCGCTCTAGGCCTGAAAATAGCTAAAATAGCCAAAATCGTTTCCGCCAGCACACGATTATCGTTCTTTTCGCGCTTTTTTTCGAGTACTGTATCGTTGCGAGGTTATACACGACGGTAACATGTTCCCCGATCCCCCGTATGTTATATAAACGAGGTGTGTAGCGGCGTGACACGTGACAGACAGTTTGTTTAAACAAATTGCATCGTTGGAAACGCGAACATTAGTATCGTTAACGTTATATAGAGCTTAACGGAACAGTTGAAACGACAGGTTCGTATCTCTCGTAAAAATTGCCGAAATACGTAGCAGTTTACGTGCCTTTTTTTTCCTAAAAGAATTTCAGTGTTATTTTTTTCGAAAAACCTGTCATTGACGGTGATCGAATAATTTAACATTAACCATCTCGGTAATATTTAGTGCAATAAAAGTGTAAGTGCGTGGAAAATACGACAGGTGGATTGTGAAGAACGTGTATCGAGTTGTAAAATATCGAGATTAAGGATGATTGGTGAAATTTGAACGTTGCCTGCAAACGATGTATCGTTTCGATTGATCGCGTATTCGCGGTGTTAGCGGTTGCATGCGATTAAGAAATTGAAGAACGATCTCCGCCCGTACTTAACAATTCTATGCCTCGAATCATTATTCTTTCGTTATCGTAATTGCCAAGTACTCCGAAGGATTGCATCTGATGGCATAATGAAACATCTGTGGACAGGCGGTGGGTCTTCCTCCTCGGATCCAGCTCCAGTTTCTACCGGGTGGTCCACCTGTAACGAAACGCTAAATTCTTCTCTTTGTGTTTAAAGTTACCGTGAGCAACCTTGGTTTTTTTCCTCGATCGATACCACGCGTATCTTCTCTCGTGTTGTATCACCAATCGAAATCTCTCTCTCTTTTCATTGTCTTTCGATAGAGGAAAAAGAAAGAGGTTAGGAACAATCGAATTCTACAAATCGTTGAATTGCTCGATTGTTTGACATTCAAAATTCCCGCGTCTTTGTACCTTTGCGAATAAACTGCTACGAAGAAAAGTGTCGACGTAGGTGCGGAGCTTTCGTAATTATCAGAGACTAATTCAAAGACTTAATTGTGCCGTGAACGTTATCGATGACACATCGATATGTTGAAAATTATTCTTTATCTCTAATCGAGAACAACGATCGTAAAGCATTTCGTCGTAAGGCTCGCTTACGTCGACGAGTTCTTTATTCTTCGATCGATAAATAATCGTAAGAACAATGAGAAACGAGGGAGAGAAAGTTGGCTGTTGGTAATTTGAAGATTCGCGAATCGGTTACTTCGATGAATTCTTATCTTATCGTTCTAAATCAAAATCCCACCACTGTTCGTACCCGTATAAATATTCTAATACCGTTGGTATCGTGCTAGTGTAAATTCACTGTTCGCGTTTCACGTCTCTCCGGCAACGTTGTCAAGGTTGCTCGTTTCTGGAGCTTCGGCTCGGTTTCGGTGGATCGTGTTAAACTCGCTTTTTGCTCTTCGTTAACGAGCCAACCAGCCTGCGTAGAAAGTTTTATTCGCTCGTAAACGTCATTGTTGCCTCCGAATCGAAGATATTTCATTCGCGATTCTACCCGCCGAGCTTCCACACGCGTACCTGCATTCAAACGCAAATTAGACTAATTTCAGTATCGAAGAACACGGTAGCTATTCAATTTTATACATTATTAAATCTATCGGTATTTTTTTCAATCTAACCTTACTAATCTTCTAAGAGTGAGTGGGACTCTAAAGTTTCATACGTTCTAACGAACTTTTATCAACGCTCTAACATGTTTTAACCCTTTAACGCTCAAATTTTTCTCGACTTGAAGCGCCAAAAATGATCAATTTTTTTTTTTTTTTTATTATTTTCTAAGCGTATAGAGATAAGTTTCCCGCTTATTTATAATGTTGCGACTTCCACGTTTGCGATAAAATAAAAAGGATAGGGCAGTATGAAAAGTGAAAGAAAGTAATTAAACAAAATTAAAGTAGTCTACTTTATACTCGGGATCGGTGGGCTACACGTTTGAAACGCAAGAAAATGTGAAAATCGTGGATATCTAGAGTCCGACTCGGAGTTCGAGGATTAATTTCGATATAATGATAGATATCAGATGAACGATTACTACAAAAGATGGTACAATCTAACAAAACACTTCATTTCTTCCGCGTAATCACACCTTCCAAGAAACCATCTATTTCCGACACATTATACACAATCTAGATTGTAACAACAAGATCGTGATCCTTTCGTTCCCACCTGTTGGATATAAATCAGATCAGCCTGACGAAAATAATTAAACCGAAGAACAAGATTTCGATTCCATCGTTGATGCTCTTAACTCTTTAACGATCTCTAATTTCCTCGGAGTAGCATTAGGCCATCGCATAAGCGAAATATATTTGAGGAAAATCCAACTGTTACTGAAAAAGAAAAAATAGGGAAAAATTGTGGAACGAGAGGAAGCTTAGGTTTTCCTCCCCCCAAATTTTTAACCCTTTCATCGCTATTGGCGCCTGTAGACGCTTGGAAAATTTACTCACACCGTGCAGTTCGCGCCTTTTGGCACACTTCTAGTCTTAATTTTAATTAAACCTAGATTTAATCCTTAACCCTTATGTCGATAACCAGAATTGCCGTCTACTTTATCGACCAATTCTAGTAGTTTTCCGATAAGAAAATTGTAAACTTGAGGCAAACACGGATAGGAAATGCGCGAAGTAACACCTGGAAGATGAAATATTTTAAGTGAGAATTATGCAAAAGGGTACCCGGTTAATTTTCTGCCTTAACTAGACTAGAAATTTTGCAGTATGTAGTGGCTAAAAATTTCACACACGCGACGCATTGAAATCTGCCTTACCGAAAGGGTTAAAAGGTTCTCGTCGAAGCTATCTATGCAAAATGATCAAATTCGACAGGAACCTACGACACGAGCCATCCAACGAATACATTACCCTATCAACTTTACACCATCGTACGCCTCGAGTGTATAGTTACAGTACGCCTGGTGTGAATGGTCGAGCGATTCACGAAAGAGTCATCGAGGGCTGTTAATAATTCGTGGACGGTGTAGTAGCAACTAGAGTCTGTGATGCCCGCGGTCACCTACTTCTCGCAGCCTGAAACTCGACTCCAGGAAGAGCCGCGTTCATTCCCTCTTGCTCGCATTTCCAGCCTGCACGAGCATTTGCATTTTCAAAACAATTGTATCATTGTCGCGTCTCGTTCTTCTCTTCTCTGACCATTCCACGACAGTTCTATCCATCTCACTCTCTCACTCTCTCTCTCTCTCTCTCTCTCTCTCTCTCTCTCTAGTACTGCTTATAGGTTTCGAAGTCGTGCGCGAACGTGCCTATTGAAAATGTCGATAAAGGTTCAGTGACATTCGTTTGCGAACGTTCACCCGCGAACGCCAGCTAGACACACCGTGTGTGTGTGTGTTTGCTCGCTTTTCGTTCCTGGAAGTTTGCTGCTGGTAAACGCGATTGTCGATAAAGATTTTTCTATATCTCTTCTTCGATCCTATTTCTACCACCTGCTTTTCATCCTGCATTTTTCTACGCGCCTACCGGCAGACACGACGATCATTAGAATATTTCTATTATAGTGCTCGAGGATGGTAAACGAATGTAAGTGCTGGAGAGACGTGTGTTTCGACCGTTTATCACTCGAACGCTGTGAAGTTTCAACGTTTACCAGATTTATAGGTTTAGAGGGGAAGTAAATGTTGCTTATTTATTTGCACACTCTGATGTGCAGCTTCCTTTGCTATTTTAACGCGTGAGTTAATCTTAACTGAAATTTTAGGTACTCTTTATTTTGCTGTAGAATTTTTGAAAGAACTCTCGAGGCTTTCGGTTGCGAATTTTTTCCATCGAGATTGAAATAGAGAGTGTGCGAGGTTCCGAATGGAAAGATTAACGTAGACAGAAGCTAGGGCATCTGTTCCGAAGCAAGCCAGAAACGCGGTAGCCATATCCCCGGATCGTTGTTTTCTCTCTCTCTCCCGTGAAATCTCGCAGATAGTCAGTGGACCATTACAGGCAATATCGTTAAAGGCTCGAACACATGTTCACCCGTTTAATAGCGTACGCGAAACGATCACGTTGCTCTCTATTTTTTGCTAACCGAAGGCTTTTAAATTGCAGTCTCGACGACGAGGATGGCGTGCCCGAGTAATCGACGTTGTTTCTGAGCATCGACTGCCACAGAGGATCGCGGAAGACGCGGCTGTCCACTAGAAGAGCAGCGATGCCGTTGAAGCTTCGCTCGAGATCCGCCCAGCCGGCTTCGAATCTTCAGTTTCGTCGCTCGAGATCAATTACATTATAAGACGAATCCTTCGAACTAGCAAACAAACCAAAAAAGAAGAAGAAGAAAAAAAAACGAAAGGAAACAAACAAGAAACAAAGAAAGATCCCTTGGATGATCGCAATTAATTCGTAACAAAAGGAACAACGAGAAGTAAGAAGGAGGATCCTGGAACTGCCTTTTCTAATATAGGTAGAAAAGAGAGAGAAAACTAAAGAAAAAATAATTATTTTGGTAAATAGTCGGTAATTAGTGGACGATTCGCCTGGAGAGAGGAAGAAAGAAAGGGGATATATATATATATATAGGAGAAAGAGTTTGTCTGTCGCAAAAGTCCGCGTTAAATGGTCACGTTCAGTGCACAATTTCCGGTTTGTCCGCGCGTGTCGTGCACCGTGTACGTTCTCCGGCCGACAGTTTCAAATTAATAAGCTGGAGAACCGCGAACAGTCGGTCAAATTTCGCCCAGAAGTAAACGAGTCGCGATCAAAGTGAAGTGTCTCGGTCTCGGTGAGATGGCCTTCATGATGAAGAAGAAGAAGTACAAATTCTCCGTGGAGGTGGATCTGGAGGAGTTGACTGCTGTAGCATTCGTGAACGCGGTGCTGTTCGCGAAACTCAGACTGCTCGACGGTGGCTCTTTCGTCGATCATTCGACGAGGTAAGCATCCTCGTCAATTTCATTTTCTTTTCACCATTGTCACTCTTCCACGGAACAAACATCCTTTTTGCAAGGTGTACGTCTTTGGTAATTGATAGAATGTTCGCTTACGTTCGCGTAGTACTGGCCGCTGACGAGATTGCGAATTAAATCCTGGCACTGCAGAACCGATTGATGAACCGCTTCGAGTTTCCACGGAATAAGAGAACGACTAATGGTATTTCGCTCGAAAATGGAAAATCCGCAAATGCTAATCGATACCTGGAATATTCGGAATTTTTCCTTGTCCACGGAGATCAACGTTTCGTAAAACTCGGTTTCTCACGGCCCTGGTCAAGGTTTCAGGTCCTTGACTGTTCGTACTTCCGTGGATTCGATTGTCTCGACAGGCGAAACGTGTTTACTTTGCCTAGGACCTCGGCGAATCGTTGCCTGTACCATAGGACGAAGTGTGTCGTAGCCGGAAATGGAGAACGAGGATTATATTTAATCAGATGAATTATTCAATTCAGAATGTAACGTCGATCGCGTGTCTCTTTGTGTCTACACGCTGTGCAGCTCGTTAAAACGATTTTTTACGTTAGACGTTTGTTTCACGCGAGAACGAAAGTTCCTCTGAAAAAGAAAAAAGAAACCAGATTTTCCCCCGTGCAGTTGCTTCATTTTTCCTCCCGCAGTTTCGTTCTCGTAACTCGCTTAACCAGGAGACGTTTCTGCGCGCGTGTGTTTTCATTCTTTCCTTTATAATCTACCTGTGCTACGCGTCTTTCAACTTCGTTACACCGAAGAACGCTCGAGATTTAACGACAAGATAAACAGTTATCGTGAAACGAGCGTTACCAGGTTGAACAACGTTTTACGACACGCTGAATTAGACGTTTACGCACGCCACAAAAGAAGCACCAGCAACGCGTGCAGCTCCGTTAAATTATTTAGTTCCCCCTCTGGTTGGAAAGTAGCTAGGCCTCTCCGGAAGCTTGTCGGAAACTCGTTTAAACTTGGATTCTACGGCTGGCCTGTATTGCCCGTGAATGAAACATGTCCCGTAGACACGGATTAATAGCTCTTCCCCCGTGAAGCGCGGTGGATCATCTGAAACTCGGTAACGAGGTTTCATCAAGTTCCAATTCTTTTGTATTCCAAAGTATCTCCCGCCTCCTCCTCGCTCTCTGTGCCACAGGGGATAAACGTGGAATACGAAAAAGCCAACCGAGTCTCTGTGTAACACTCCGGCGTTTCGCTCTTTTACGAACTCGAGAATGATAGGCGAGTTCTAGCGTGGTCATAATACTTTCGTTCGTTAATAATGCAGATGAAAGGAAACACGATGGAATATCTAACGAGAAATCTTTCTCACAATTTCACCGTTTGTCACTTCTCGGTGTACGGAAATAGATAGCCAGAAGAGGAAACAATGGTTTTGCCGATGTCTCTTGTGATTAGATTAGAATAGGAAGAATTGAATTTTCAGAGTAGTTGCTTCTTACAATTCGTCCACTTAAACGCGACAGCCGTTACTTTTGCATACAGCAAATAGTTGGTTAAAAATAGTCGAGCATCTATATACGTAGGTGGTTTAAAGAGACCGAACCTGCGTGTTAACCGCGTATTTCGCCCACGTCCTGCGGAACACCGCGTTCCGGAAATTCTCTGATATTCTTGGAAGTCGGTGAAGACCGAGCAATCGAATTTCCCCTTCCGAACACCGCTTATTGTCTTTGCATCGAGCTTCTCCACGCCGCGTTTTTCTTTCGACTTATTGCTCTTCTTTTTCCCTTTCTTCCTTTTTCGTTTCATCTCGCTTTTTTCATCGGAACGTAGGCGCATACCGCGAGAGTTCTCTTTAAAAATCCGCACGACGTCTACTTTCGCGCGATGAATCGTGAATCTGACGAGAAACTTGGCCGTTTCGACAGTACCGCTCCACGAATTCCTGCCCCATGTTTGTTCGGTAGCTTTTCGTTGGAGAAATGTGGATTTAAGGGGAAGTTTGAGAAGCGGTGTTGAAGGTGGATTAGGATAAAAGTGTCGATAAAATTCCAAGGAACTCTCCTCGTACCTGTAGCTACGCGTTGGCATCTGGTCAGGTGTTGCAAAGCAACAGTTGGCTGATAGTAGCGTTATTCGACGACAGTTTTTTCCACGTGTGTCTAACAATAGACCGCCTTGCGCTGTCCGTTATTCGATTAAGTCGATTATCAACGACGAAAAAAAAGGACAACCCTGCTGTACTATCGGTATGTCAAAAAGACGTCGACACTTTCAAATCGATACAGAAAATATTACTCGCGAACGAGTTTTTAACCCTCTACTGTCGAGACACCGTTTTCGGGACGTAAAGCCCTCAACTTCCGGTTAGTTTATACATAAATATAGAACATTTCGGGCAGCTTTTCTTACCGATTTACCTTGATCACGCATTTTCCTAATGAACGTTGCAGAATAGAGTGATCGGTTGGATTAATTTCATTTTAATACAATAACGCCGAGTTCTAAATAAGATGGCAGAAAAGAAAATAGTCTGTGAGACTCCGCCTCGACAGTAGAGGGTTAAAAAATCGACCGTTTGTTGCAAATGGAGCAATAACGTGTAACTGTTCAAATATGAAGTGAAATTTTCATCACGGTCGCGTCGCGGCCAGTTTATCGATATCCCTAGCGAAACACGATTCGATTGTGTCCCTGCAGAGGGTTAAAAAATCGACCGTTTGTTGCAAATGGAGCAATAACGTGTAACTGTTCAAATATGAAGTGAAATTTTCACCACGGTCGCGTCGCGGCCAGTTTATCGATATCCCTAGCGAAACACGATTCGATTGTGTCCCTGCCTTCCGTCCATTGTCGGTCGATAATCCAGCCAGGATATTTCAGCAGAGTCGTCGGTATTTACATGGTGCCGCGTTATGTACGACATCGTGTGCGCCTTCCTTCGGCCAATGGGATATAACGTTCCCGCACGTGTGCGAGATGTACGCGACATAAATTCCGTCCGCGGTTCGTAAACCATATTTCGCATCGCCGCGGCCGGTGGCATCGTCCACCGGACGTCGGTGTTTCTCCCGTTAAAGCGGATGGTCGACGAGGAGGATCGATTTTTCATATTTTTTCTCCTTTCTCTCTTCCTTTTCCCCTTTAGCTTGCTAATGGAATCACCGTATAATAATACTCGGTGTAAAAATAAGAACGTTAAAAACAGACGGAGGAAATTGCCAGCTGTAATTCCGAGGGATATAAAAGCGATACGACCAGATAGAGATTTGAAAGAAAGTGTCTCGAGAGAAATTTGAACGGATAGGAAAAATTGTGAAGAAATCTGCAAGGAGAAGAAGAAAGAAAGGAATTGCGTAATTGGAGGAAGGAAGATGTGGGAATCACGATAATAATCCGCGTTCAAAGAGTCGGGAATTCCTTATTACTCACGACGACGTGTTTACTGCACCGTTAGCTCTTGCTTTAAGTTACACCAAAGCCTGCTGCTTAGAACTTTAAACGAGAAAAGTAAATCAGAGATGAGCGTCGCGTCCTCCAAAGCGCTAATTCCTGCACGTCGAGTGTCGCAGGAATTTACCTTGTACTCGAGCCGTGCACGATATTTCCTGGATATGAAAAAGAAAGAAAGAAGGGACGTGTTTCTCCGTTCCGACAGACTGTAAGATCGAGAATTAGCACAGTCTACAAAGGAGAATGCAGGAGGAACGAGGGAAGATGGAGAAGTTGGCCGCCGTGGTAGTCTTGAAAGTTCCTTCAGTTCCGGTTTATCCGTAATCCCTTGGCACGAGTTCGAATCGAACGGTCATTCTGCGGAAACGAAATCAGCGTGGAAAATGAGTCACGTACAGGGTATGTTGTTCTCTTCTCCAAGTTTTCAGACCGTCTTCCTCCTTGTGTCTCACTCGCGAACGTCCAGAGAATACCGGAAGCTGGCTGGACCGTTGCCAGAACCTTTCTCCTCCGTTAGCTTAGTGATTTTATTATTTCGCGAATCGGTATTCCGTTTGAAAATCACCAATTTCGGCCGAACTCACCTATAATACAATCCTTCACCGAGCAATCGCAAAGTATTTTTCACCGGTAAAAATCCTCCTTGATTTCCTCGAGAATGGAAGCAGAGTTTGAACGCGTATAAATTGCAGACACTTGTTCTTTTTCTCTAAATTCGAACTCTGCTCTTTCCCACAAAGCGAAGATGAAACCGTGACAGAGTTCAATCGAACGAACACGCCGCGAGTTTTTTTTTTTTTTTTCGGTTGACAAGTTTAATCGACGGCAATCGGTGGCTGTGCTGGTAATTAGCCGCTTCCTCGTCGCCGCTCCCCGAGGCGCATTCGGCGGAGGCTCCAGGCGGCCTTAATCGATTCGCACGACCTTCCGTTGAATTTCTCCCGTCGGATTCGACAGAGGGGATCTCGAAACTCTTTCGCGTGGACGTGTAAGTGCGTACCGGCGACCTGCGGGTGGAAGGACCTTCGAGGAAATCGGAGTACAGCTCTCGGGGAAATGGAGAACGGTCGGCTCTTAGTTGCTCACCTTTAGCTTCTTCTCTTCAGCTTGGTGACGAGTGTAAGATAATCATTACGATCGAATGTGTAAAGTTGTACAAACGTTTCTTCAAGATTTTCTTATTACTCGGATCGAAAGGAACTCTTACTATCAATTGGCAGGTGGTTTGAAATTTTTGGTTGCTAGCGTGTTTCTTTTGTATCGATTCGTATCTCGGTAGAAATTCTTGGAAGAAAGAGGTTTGGTCACCGGTGAAGTACCGTTACCGTGATACGGAATTTTCTGAAGCTGCGAACGTTCTGTCTGCACTTGGATATCTGTACAGAAGATTCTTTGTAGTTCGTTTCGAATAGATTCCGTTCTACTCGGCTGGTGACGAGATATGAATCCTAGCGTCACAGTTTCTTCTCGATTTGTCGGAAATTTCTACGCTAGATGATGATACGTTTCTAATTGATTTTCCCCGCGTGTCCACGAACAAGTGATTACGAGAAAGAGAC